ATAGGAGCGCAGCGAGAAGCTCTGCTCCTGCCAGCTGCCGCTCAGAAAGCGTAGCGCGTGCGGATGTCTTCCAGCTTCTTGGACACCTCGGGTGGGGTCCGGTCCAGCTCTTCGGCCACATTTTTCTGTTTGTTAGGCTCCATGGAGTTGAACTGCTCGCACAGGTCCCCATCGATCACATTCTGGAGGGGCAAGGAGGAGAGGATTGAATCGACACAACACAGAGGCACTGAACCCTGCCTAAACGGGGAAAAATGGCAACAAACAGTTTGTTCCCAGGACCTTCTTAAGCCTGTCCTGGAAACAAGACCATGCTCGGTGACCTCATCTGCTGAATAGCAGCAGTTAGCATCAAATTAATTACTGGCCAGCTTGATTAATGAAGGAGAAACCCAAAAAGCCTGGGTGCAGCTGAAGAATCACACAAGGGAAGGGAAGGCAGACCCGACTCGGGTCCGAGCACCGTGCTGGGAAGGCAGGGGGAGGCCACAAAAGATGACTGAAGGGCATCTTTAGTCAGACACGAGACATCTTTGAGATGGCGCACGCTGCAAATCAGCCCCAAGCTCGTCAAGAACAATAACACCCTCTGCGCTTGGACAGCTTCGGCTGCTGGGACTGTTTTCTGACAGATACTACATACGTTACTCCGGTCCCTGCTGGTCACAGCATTTAGCACTTGACAGTTTCAAACCCGGTTCCTCAAAAGCAGAAATAGGCAGGAACAGCCGTTTGTTGTGAGATTTCCTTTTTCAATAGTGGTGGGAAAAAAAAAAAAAAAAAAGGCAACAGCCAGTTTGACCCAGCCGCACAAACAGCTACGTACTGCTGCTCCTCCTGACGGAAAAAGGAGATGCTGCGGCAAGTAGAGAGGGGCGGCAGCAGCACCTCTGGGCTTGGGTCTCAAGACAAACCCTCAGAAGACTCATTACCAGGGTTAAGAAACCAAAACAGACAGGGTATGCCGTGCCAAGTACTGGTCTCCCTACAGAGTGCTATCCAAGAGTTCAGTTCCCACCACTGTCTGTGGTTTACGCCGCCCCAGCCTTCCCCACTGAACAGCAACCGGGACTTGCTCCCGCCAGGCCTCAAAGCCCTTCCGTGTCCCGGCGCAAGCCTCTGCACCCCCCCGCACCAGCTGAGCCTAAATACTCGGACCTACCTTCACCGGGAAGTAGTAGGAACGGAAACTGAGATGGTCTCGTCCACAGAGGGGAGGGTGCTCAGATCTTAAGTGCATTTCTACGTGCTGGAAGAAGTCATGATCCTGGGGAGGTGAAGAATCGGTAAGAGAACCGTTTGCTACATGTCAATGCCACCGGTGAGGCAAGATGACACCCATCACCCGGCTCTTGCGCTGGCTGAAACACCGCCGTTAGCAGGTTCTGCACGCAGCAGCCAAGGTCACGGTCACCCCCTCACCACCGCCACCCTGGGAGCACCCACAGCAGAGCTCGGCCGCCAACTGTGCCACCTTGGCCAGGATCAGCCTCCCAGGAACTGGAGCACAGAGCATCGGCACAGCTCTAAGAGTTAACGTCTCTGCATTCGCTGCTCCAGGAGGCCACAGCCAATGGAGCAGAGAATATAGTCTTCAGGACCTGAAGCATCAATCCCTGATCAACAGTTTACAGGTGACACAAAGCACGCCAAAGGATCCCTCCTCATAAACACCAAGTCACCCAAGAGCTACTCTAGAGCACAAACAGATTTAGAACAGCAGTGCCAACAAGAAAAGCTCTCAACTCTTCACAGAGCCAACGCAGAATGAGGACTTAACAAGCCCCTCCTCTTCCCCTGTGCATGGGAACTTGTCCCACAGCCACAGGCCTTCCCGCAGCCCGTGTTTTCACACGCTGCAGAGCCCTAGAGCTTCCCTCAAGGGATGCGGCACATTAATACACCGGCTGGGGATGAGCGCACAGAAAAGCGGCAAGTCTGCAGCGTAATGCCGGGGTTTGCTTACCTCATGGGAAGTGAAAGGGACCAAGATTCCTATCCCTCCCAATAAGGTGGTATAAACAAGAGATTCAGAGCCTCCAGGGATCAGCGTGGTCTTCTGTAAGGAAAGCACCGTCTCTCCCACGTGGTAATTCATAATCACTTCAGCCTGAAAAGTCAACCACAGAAGCGTGGTTTTTTTCTTTAGCTTATATAAAAGCATCAAAAGGTTTGAGAGAGGAAAGCAGAATAAATTTGGCCACCTGCTAGTTCTGAAACACCTTTATCTAGAGGAAGTGCCTTCCACCTGTGACCAGATGGCAAAACTCAGCGTGCTGCCGAATTACCCTCTTAAGCCGGACAAACGGATGCAAGTACCAAGGGAAAGCAGGAAAAGAAAATGAGCCTGCTGCCTCAATCAAACATCACTGAATAGGCATCGGCCGTGACTTCAGAAACCGAATTTGGCTCCCAGCAACAGTGAAAACCGATCACCCTCAGCACAGTAGATGTGTAGAAGCAGAACTGCCAATACATCTCCCGGATGACACCGCAGAGGACTTGACAGAAAAGCAGCACGCTCTTTTCCCACGATAACTGCGTGCTTCCCATGGAGTGTTACCTTCTGTGATGCTCCGTTAAGAAGGCCCCTGTCCCAGAGAGCTTTGTTGCCTGTGGGATCCTCATCTACCTCATCGTTGGTGTTGGGAGGCAATCTCACCTGCGTGGAAAGAGGAAGAGTCAACAAGCTGCAGAGAAGCAGCACATTATCTCTGGAGAATCACTGGGGTTTCTGAAAGGCTGCTTTTGTGGACTCTACGAGAATCACTTTACACTTACAGCAAAAATACCCATTTGCCCCTCCAACAAAGCCTTTAGAGTTAAATGACAACTGTGTTGTCAAGACTGATGGCACATCACTCAAAAACACAGGCAGGACTTCATGCCCGGCCTGGCACTCACAGATCACCCTGGGAGGGATGGTCAAAACGGTCTGAAGGTGGTTCCCGCTAAGGAGACAGTTTGATGGATGTGGGGCAGGAAATCCGAAGTGGATTGATTTGTGCGCGTCGGCCAAATCCTGCAGGCGCAGCGTCTGACACTTGCTGAACTCTGCGCTCTAAAGCACCCGAGCACACTTCAGAAAGAGATCAAAGCTCTGGCAGAACGACCATCTATTCTTTTCTCCTCCCCTGCTGAAATCCAGCCAAGCGGGGAAGTGTCAGCACTGACAAAGCCAACTTCGAGAGGAAGCGACAGAGAAAGCTAAATGCCAGCAACGAGGTTTAGCCAGGGAAAGTAAGAGTGATAATCCTGGCACAAGTTCTCCTGGGCCCTTGCACAGTCACAAGCTTCGTTTTAAGGCTTATTCACAGCCAGTTTTGGGGCAATTTCAACACAAGTTATTGAATGCTTCAGAAATACATTTTGTGACCTGCTGATGCTTTAACTCGTTGGCTTCAATTAACAAATCGATAAACTGCAGCCGTCCGCTATGACGACAGCTAGTCACCCTGTAAAAACAAGTGAATGGTACAGGGCGTTGTCTCCAGCTAAGCACAGATTCTCATACTTTTAAGAACAAATCATGGATGTTTTAAGGAAAAATATGTCGTGTCCAAAAAGCTCTGACTTCTCCGAGGCACACTCACCACGCAGATGTTGCCAAATTTGTCTGCTCCAGCCACAGTGTCATAATCCAGGAGAGTTGCTGTAGTGACCCACCGGGGGTAAGTGTCATCAGCAAAGATGATGAGCTGGTTCTCATTCCTTTTGTAGCGCACCCAGATGAAACTCTCCTGAACGTCTGAAACAATCACTCTGTGCCCAATGGTTTGGATCCCACAGATGTAGTTGGCAATGTGCTTTTGAGAGAGAGAAAGGACAAAACCCGAGTGCTTCAAACAGGGAAGCATTAACTCTACCCTACTCCAATCGAAACACTACTTCCCCATATGAACTATGGCTCGCTCCCCATTTCCCATCATTTCCCTCCAAAACTACCTCTCATTTCTGGCATGCTACAGCCACAGTCTAAATATGGCCCGCTGTCCATACAGGGCCTCTGCAACCTAACATCCACTGAACATGAGTCGTGTCCAGAGAACATGCACTGTTGGTGAGCCTACAAACTGGGATGCCAGGGACAGTCCCGCCAGCAGGCATTGCTTCAGCGTCCCCTCGCTACTGTGGTCACAAAAGACTCAAGGAAAGCTTCAATTTTTCACGTGAGTCATATTTTAGGGGAGGGAACCAAACACAAAACCAAACAAAAAACACCCAACACACAAAAAGCATTCCCCTACAGTTTCCCAGCCTGCCTGTCAGCTTGCTGGAGTTCCTTTGTGCAGTAATGAGCAACTGGCACACATTCTGCAGCTTGCACGAGAGAGGGAGGAGCAGGCAATTATGAGTTAGAAAACCATGCTCCGCAATTTCCTAAAGTACCAGAGATGCTCAGCAAGAAGGACCATCTACTTCAAGGAGAAAATTCCCTTTTCAAGATTCTGAGGATCTGAAGAGGTGCTCATATGCCCGCTCCAACTTCTGTCCCCAGCCTGCTGATCACCTAACCTAAGGAAACATTTACAGCAGTTGTCATTTTGTATCTGGGTAAGACCTCTCACATTCGCAGCAGACAGCCAAAGGCACGGTCCGTACAGACTTGTGAAACTCCTGCAGGCTTCCATTAACAGCCTGCGTTGAGCTGGTACAAAAAGGAACCTGCAACACTGCTATCTGAACGGGGACGGGAGAGCGATGTGTGCCCGGGGTGCCGAGGAGCAGCACAACAGCCCGGTGCAGCCAGCGCTGCCGACGCTGCTCTAGATGCACACACCCAGCGTGCACCCAGCAAGGCGCACACACACAGCCCTGAAGTGCAAGTGCAGACACACTTGGGCTGGAGCAGCAGCTAAACCCTTGTTTCACGCCTGCTGCAAAGCATTGCTCACTCCAAGTTAACAGCCCTGGTCAAGAACAAAAGCCAGTACCTTATTCTCACACTTCCGAAGCAGTTTCTTCTTCCCCAGGTCATAAACACGCAAGAGCTTTCCAACTCCAATTAAGACTCTACCTTGGAACGGAGCAATGGCTGCAGGAACTTCCTCCACAGGGGTCTACAGAGGGAAGAGGACAACTGTGAGACCCCCATTAACAGAGCTAACCTTACACCAGGTTTCAGAATGGATTCAGTTAATGGTTTGGTCGAAGCTTGTTGGCCTGTGTCAAGGCTTTCAACGCAAAACGCTCATCATAATCTTTTTCTAAAGAAAGGGCAGAAGGTCAGTCCTCTGTAAACCTTTCGACAGCAGCACATACCACAGGTGGAGCTAACAGAGCTCTGGACACTACGCAGACAACACACTGCTGGCAGTGCACCTTAACTCAAGTGTAGGACTGCTGTAAGAATCCCACGCTGGGCAGGCAGCAAAGGATCTCGTTGCCTGGGTTCTTAGTTTCGCTTTATCCCCAACAAAGATTTTATGCTTTGCCCAAATCCATCCAGATTGTCTGTTTTCAAAACAAAGGCATGAATCTAATTCAGCCATCTGCCACAGACATTCTGAAGCTGCCACTGAAGAAGCGTTACATCTGAACAATTGGTGCACCCACAATTCCAGTAACTCGGACAAGGCTGAAAAATCTCCACCCAGTAATCAATCCAAAAGGATCAGCCACAGCAGAGAATGGGAACATGTAGAGAGCTTCCAGTTACAGCATCCCCAGCGTGGCTGCACTGGCTAGAAGAAGTTATTTCACATCATCAGCCCTGCCAACTGCCAAGTGGGTGTTCAGTGGCACCAGAAAAGGCCCCGGTCCAGGACAGAACCCACTCATTGCATCAGGACCGTAGGAAGTGAATAAGCTGCAACATTCCTTTCCACGTGCTCATCTGCTCAAATCTCAGCCATGCTGGAAGCACGTGAGAAGGAGAAGAGAATTTTGTTTTAACGGAGTTCTTCTGAAACCCTCGCCAAAGCCCCAGAGACCTGTCAAGCAAGCTGGTCACTAGGCGACTAATCATTTCTAGAAGCAACCAAAACAGCATCAGAGGAAAGATGACAGCTCACACCAGCTTCATCTGACCCGCCAAGGACTGAGAGCCTGAGCACCAAGGGCTCAAGCGACCCAAGTATGAATTCACTCTGTAAACAAGTGCTCAGAGAAGCTCTCTGAGCTCATATTCCAAAGAGAAAACAGAGCTGTTTCTATCCCCTCCCTAACAGGGGCACGAAAAACACCGCTCCTTTCCCATTTACCCAGTTAGATGGCTAAGACCTGAGGCCAAAGGCATGGGACTCTTGGGAGATCTGTGTTCAATTCTCAGCTCTGCAAACGATGCCCCGAGTGATTTGGGAGGAGGCAGCTTATTTTCCCAGAGGCTGCTTCCAGTGTGTATCATCAGCATGATGCTCTTGCCCAGGATTCATCGAGCATTGCAATACCACTATAGCACTCAGGGTGAAATAACAGCTATTCCAGTACTGCCTGTAAATGACCCAGTCACCCAAAGAGGCCTTTTCAGCCCTCTCACCTTGTGCAGAAACTCTAGCTTCTCACCACTGTTCACCAGCTTGTACGTGTAGACAAATCCCCCAGCAACCGAGCGTGGGTTCAGAATCAGGTCCTTGGCGACTCCCACCAGCACATACCACTCATCACCAGTATTGGAGAACCGGCACACAGCCACGCTGGGAATGGTAAGACATGCCAGGAGATCAGTGTGATCACGACACAAACCAATGCTGCATGTACAAACTGGATTCCCTGACAGCACAACTCGACCTAGCCTGGCAGAGATTTGAGAGCCCACCCTTCTAACACTGACATTCCATTTTCAGAGGTCATTTTTCCTCCCTGCAGAAATGCTTAATGCAGATTCCTTCATTCTTCCATAATCCCTATATAAAAAGATGTGCTCCACCTGCCACATATGCCCAAAGGATTACTTTTACGTTTTCACAATGCCCAAAGCATTACTTTTATGCTTTCACAGGCTGGATGCTGCCTAGCAATGTGCAAAGCTCCAGTAGAAGCTGTTTTTCAAAGGCTGCTCCAATCTGGACACGTACACCTTCCTCATCTTCCAGTGTTATCTCCTGCCCGGTGCCTAGCTCAGGCAGGTTGGGAGTCCTGGACAAAACAGGACAGAATCAGCCTTTTGGACTAGCATGACCTAACCACACTTCACCTGCTGAGGCACTTGCTATTCTTCGTGGTTATTGTGTTGGTCTTCCCCTCCAGTCCCTCTGACACTTCCTTTCCATTTAATATATGCTCGGTTTATCTGGATGAGAAAGGGAAGTGAGAGATGGCAGCACATTCTCTTGTTCCTGGCTCTCTTATCTGCTGTTTACATCCCCACGTTGTTCTTTAAGCACTGGGGTCCAGCAAACACATCTGGAGCACCAGCTCTCAGTGTCACATGCAGACAGATCAGGGCGGGAAGGGAAGGAAAGGCAAGACAAAAGCTTTTGAGCATGTGGAAATCACTTCTGGAATTTCAAGCCAGCCTCCTGATAACACACTGCATCTGGATTTCAACTCGGTAACAGCTGAGCAAAAGAAGGAAAAAAACCCTATATAAGACTCATCACAAGCAGAGATTCTTGCTGCATCTGTCAATGCTTCTTACCTGAAGGCAGCTTCGTTCTGCTCTAGCTGGACCAGATCTAACGTATTTCCCTGGATGGGGTTCATCACCCTGATAACAGAGGCCCACTGTCCATTCCCGGCCTTGGGAGCACCAAAGATGGACTCGGGAAGATTCTCGTTCAGAAAGGCTGCAGCCATTTCTGCAGCCAACTCCCTCTCATCTTCACCCGCAGCCTCCACCATTTCCTATGGCACATTAAAGGACAGGAGCAAACAACAAAACTCAGTGGATTTCCTTTCCAGACACGCTGAATACCGTTTGCCCTAAGCTCCAGGGCAAGGTACTGCTTGTGAAGACATAAAAGCCATCAAATCCCAAAGCTTCCACCCACCCTGAGCTTATTCCCAAGGGAGCCTCTGCAGCTCAGAGCACAGCAGTGTCAGCTCTGCCCTGCCCAAGGGGCAGTTGTCTGGGGAGCTGTTTCTCCAAATCAACAAACTCTGGAAACAACACCGAGAAGAGAATAACCCACTGACATAAACATCCTCAAACGGTCAGAGGAAAAACTAGAGAACGGTGTTACACAAGCATGATTGTCCTCCAATACGTGGTTCTTAAAGTCTGCCATAATAACATACAAAGAAAGGAGCATTGGGAAGTAGTGTATTCTGCTGAAATTTGTGTTTCAAGGCAGATCTTTGCTCTCTTCAGCCCCTGCATTCACACAGGGCACAGAAACTTGCAGGCAATGGCAGCTGGGAACTAGCAAGCGGGAGGATTTCCAGCTGCAGAAGTCACGCATGAGTGTACCTGTCCCCCACCCCAATTACCTCGGCCATTTGCTGCTTCCTCTGGGCTTTGGTGGCCTCAGTGTAAGCGTTGTGGTCTGTCTCAATGATGATCAGGTTGTTGCTCTCCGGGTGAATGACAAATTTTCGAGGTGTGTACTGCAATGGGAAGGCAACCTGGTTGAAGACTGCCCCCAGCTTCTCCAGTGCCAAAATCCTGGGGGACAACGATGTGACATGCATTAAACAATGGTCCAAAAACAACTGTCCAAGACAACACGACTGGAGTTGAGCTTTGCATCTGTAAAACTGGCTAATGCTGGAGAGAAGCAGCACCTTTCTTGGGCCAGACAGCAATCAGTTGCAGAGCAGAAGGCAAAACTAGCATCCTAAATGGGAGCTTATGCTGTGGGACAGGTGTGCTGTGCAGCACGGGGTCCTTGACTTGAGGGGCTTTCACTGTCCCGGGACGGCTCTCACTGTCCCAGGATGTGTTCCGAGTGTCTGTCCCTTTTTGGACAGGCTTCTGTGATACAGAAACAAGTCTATCTCGAGAGGAACAAGGAGCACATGGAAGAGGGAAAGCGCACATTTGGGGAACACATCATCTGAATCTAAACGTGACACAGACTTTGACACGTAATCAAATGCTCCTCAGAGGCACTTCAGTTAAAAGAGTACGAAAAATGCAATGCCAAGTCTTTCTTCCTGTGACTTGCCAGCTGAAATGCCAGTTCTTCTGGCATTTGGTGACTAAAAGCCACAAGTCTCTCCAGAAAGAATGACTCCTTTAAAAGCAATGAATGCCGTAATATTTCAATGAGGACAGATATGAAAAAAGTGCCTGTTCAAGTGCATAAAGCAGAGCTCCTGAATTTGTGTTCCTCTATTATTTTCATTTATCTTTTTAATATCTTAGCTGAACTTTAAAAAGGCAACAAATACACCCCTGTCATGCCTCTGATTTCTTAAATCACGTGGCTCGTTTTCTGCAAAGTAGCCAATTCAGATCACAAACCACAAGATCCTAAGGCACAACAGGTTCACATTTATTATAAGCTTCCCTCCTCTCTAAGGACCAGAGAATTTAAGGATAACTCGGACTACATTTGTTATTTTAAAAAGCTAGAAAATACAATTCAGAGAAGTGCACCCTATTTCTATCCTGTAACTATCCTTGTATTCCATTTGTCTTCTGAAATCCGTCCAAGTGTTTCTATCAAATCATTATCCGCAAACAAATAACCTCAAAAAACCCCCCTTAATTCTTAAGGTAAGTCACTTTACCTCTTTCCTTTTCAATGTCTGGTGAGAATTCACCTCCCCTCCCTCTGCCTGACAACCCCACCCAGAAGCCTTTGTTTTTCCCCATCAGTTCTTACCTCAATGTGTTTGTGGAGATGGCTACGATGCCCTCGGGGCACTGCTCAGAAGCAAAACCAGAGGCAAACTCCAGAGTCTCGTAAGACAGGGGAGTCAGGTGGAAGCGCGACTGATAGGAATAACTGAGCCAGGAACGGCTTGACATGGCCAGCACCTGGGAAAGACAGGCAACAAATTTATTAGGTCTGGGGATGGAGGCAAACTCACTCCTTGTAATATGAATGGATGTACGGTGCCAGACTCTTACCAACTAGAATAACCAAATTCTTGCGGGTGGACTCCACCCCGCTCAGAGCATAACTTCAGAGACACTGCTTGCTTTCAAGAGACAGTTTTATCTGGAAATTGCGTATGGCACGAAGAGGAACTTTAAAGTACTATCAAGACAATGAATACTCAAAACTGAGGTGCAATAAAAACTGTTACCTGTAAAAGCCAAAATCAACAAATACTTTCCCATCTCTCTTTTTTTTTTTTTTTCCTTTAAACCCTAGCCTGTTCTAAGGGAAACAGGTCTTTAAAAATAAATATTTACTGCTTTGTCACAATCCAAATGCCATAGCACTCTAAGTGAAATTTACTTAAAATAATCAGTAGTCAATTTTCAATCAAGTTAAGGGAAACAAAGGAAGGAAATGGACTTCTAAACTCTTCAGCTTTATACACTTGGCTAAATCAATTTCAGCCCAACCTTACTTTCTGCCTGAGCAACAAAAGCTGGACCTCTTTTGGTCAAAGAAACACGCGGAGGTTACTCCAAGCCCACCACTGACTGGCCATAAGCAGCACGTTTTTTCTCCCCATATTGTGAGACAAGGAACCAAGACTGGTCTCAACGTAGAAAAGCACTCAGGTATTCTATAAGCATTCTCTGCTAGAGCTGCAAAGCCCCTCGTCCCCAAGCTACAGCTGGCAGACTGGCAGGAGCAAGTTAACAAGATTCACCCTGCATACCGTAACATTAAAGCAGAGCTCGGATTGCCAGATCCAGCCCCCTACGCTGACCGGCAATATTTCTCAACTCTGAAGGTGTCATCCAAAAATGAGTCAAGCAGGGGGTGGCTGATCTCCCCAGTGCCACATCAGAAGGGCTGCAAACAGCACTTCTGATGAAACGCATTCTTCCCTCTATGCCAAATCCTGCAAATATTTTCCTTGAACCATGCATGGCCACTGTCTAGCCCCTGGCCGAGCCATTCTCAACAGGCACAGGAGACAACCATCAACTGCATCAAGCAGCCAAGGGCTAAGATTTCTGCGTGGGGCTCTTTCCATCCCTGTGCACTAAGGAAGCAAAACGAGATCTTTCAGTGTCTCTGAGCTCAAGAATCCACTCGGAGCTTTCCAGTCATGCTGCAAACACAGCCTATGGCTCAGAGGAGTCCTAGTTCAAACAAGGCAGGGCAGCACTACACATTACTTCCTAAGAAGTAAGGGGAATACCAGTAAGAACAAGGCTGTTTGTGAAAGAACAAGCTGCAAGCCAGGCAGCTCCATAATGAAGTCATTCTACTTCCCACCCTTACCCAGAGGGTCCTGCTGTGCTGCGAGGATGCTTCCCCACCCGGCCCACCAATAAGGAAAACCAGGATGCTGTGCCTGGGGACCAGATCCGCATCCCTCTGAGAGCTCGCCTCACTTACCGCCTCTTGGCCTTGCATTCGGACTCGGAAGAGTTTCACAGGCCGTGAGCCAAGGTATCTGGTCCTGGTATCGGAAAGATCGCCAGTAACAGGATCCAGGACGGTTCGCAGCAGCACACCATTCTTGACATCAGCAAACCAAAAAAGTTAGATCAAAATTACAGACAAGAAATAACTAGCTACAGCCACTATTCAAAACAGAGAGGCAATTTCTGAAGAATTAGGCGTTTGTTTTCCTAGCTCCTGGTACAATTCTCTTCTACAACCATGCTGTATCTAAATTTGCTCTTAATAATAAAAAGCATAGCTCCTGCATACTCCTGTGGGGCAGAAAGGAATTACTGTAAAACAAACAAAACACCACCCTGCCCTCCTTCCCCCCCAAAAAACCCCAAAAAGCCAAAAACCAGACCAAGAAGTTTGGTGCATCACTTAAGCCATGAAAACCCTGAGGGACGATTCCACATCCTAATCCCTCCTGGTACAAAGCATTTACGCAAAAAACTCATCCTGCTTAAAAAGAGCTTGCATTCTGACAAACTTGAGGCATGAAAAAGAACCTAGACCGCTCTGATTATTTTTACATGTTGAATTGTCAAAACAACATTTTTTGGTCAAAGATCACAGAGGCAGTACTGGATGCAACAAAAAGCTGTGCAACAGCAGAGTTATTAGAGCAAAGCCTGTGGTTGTGGGCAGTTACTTCTTTGATACTCTGCCCTACAGGCAGTTTTTAAAGAACTGCCCAACAACATTTCACCCAGATTTATTTATTTTTTTTTTTTTTAGAACATGCCCTGTTTCTGGAAGGGGAAAAGCACAATTTGTCCTACACGAAGTCCGCTTTTTGAATAGTCTTAAGTCTAAGAACGCATGGGGAAACTTGCACCTCTATGAAGTCACACAGTGAACTCCCCAGTCCCAGCTGTTAAGCGTGTTGTAACAAAGAGGGAACGGTCAGATTGTGTGTTGCGCTGCACAACGACAAGGCTATCACAGCAATCCATCTCTCGAGCAAACGCTCCCCACGAAACGCCTGTCAGAACCAGGCAGGCACATCTCACCTGCAGTCCAATGTTCAGGTACAGAAAGCCAATGGAGCCCCTCTCCCCCAGCTCATCCTGCTTCTCTGTGCCACCCATTTCCACAATGCACAGCGACTCGGGCTGGGCAGGAAGGGCCTGCATACTCAGCGGCTGTAAGCAATCCTGTCGGGGACAGAAAAGAGGTACCACGCCAGTCAGCAAGGCTTGGCATAGCAAGAGGGGATTCAAGCTCCAGCTAAGGAGCTTAAAGATGCCCTTTTAAGTCTCCAAAAAGAAGTATTCAGCACAGAAAAAAAAGAAAAAAAGAGAAAAAAGTCACAATAGACTCTTGGCTCTGTGGATTTTGGCAAGCAGGAGTGGTAGCAGCCCTGGGGTTTGGAGAAGATAAACTGGATCCTTCCAAACTGTTCTAGCACAGTTTGCAGCTATTTAGCATGGAGAGCCCTGAGCAAAGTTTATGTTACTTCAGTCATCCTTTGAGCACTCAATCTGTTGCAGGTAGAGGAACGGCAATGCTGCATTGCTGCTGACCTGCTTGCAGAATAAGTCTGGGTTACTACAGGTATAAACAGTGAGACAGGAAAAAAAGCCTTAAAGAAACACCAAAATAAAACCAAAAACCAGAAGTAAATGCTTTAATTATCTCATCAGCCGAATCTCCAGGCACAGGTGGAGACTAGATCAAATCCGTTACAGGTTAGGATCAAGGGCCGTGCTTCCCCCCAACCAGTAGAGAAAAGCCATGCGAGCTATTCGTTCCTGGTCATCCACCCGAATATGGAAAGACAGCTTGGACAGACACAGCCCACCCCTGGAGTACCCTTCTCAACTTTTCAAGCCAACGGAAGAGGCAAAAACAGCACATCTACTCACCGAAGGGTCAAGGGAAATAATTCTGACAGTGTTGTCCACCAACCCAACAGCAAGGAAACGGGAGCGCTGCTCCCCAGGGGGAACATTGGCCAGGCTCATGCAAACGACGTCGGCCGACATCTCCTTTCTCTCCGTGTACTCATTCAGCTGTCCTGACTAAGAAAGAAAAACACAAGAGACTTATTAACTATCTAATGGGGCAAACCAGTACCAGAAAGTCTCCCCACACCCCACCAACCTTTTTTTTTTTCTTTTTAAAGACAGTGCTTTGGATTTTTTTGGTTTTTTTAAACCATTTCTTTACAGCCTTATTTCAACTACAATTGGAAGAACCAGAATAGCAGTAGGATAAGGGCACAATTTACAGCCTCAGTTATGAACTTCACTGACTGTAATTAGCCATTAAACCATCTCAGGCACAGCCCAGATACACAGATCTATCCACTCTAGAATGCTACTTCACTACAGAACTCTTTTCTGCAAGTTTGATCAAGGATCAGTCTCTGGCTCGCTCTTCCAAACTCATTCACAACATAAACACACATACCGGGTCCATCTCAAAGTAAACCAGTTCTCCTCCAGTCAGTGCTATCACGACTTGTCTCTGGTTCACAGCACATTTTACAATGGTTTTCTTCCCTGGTGTCTTCCATTCATTCACTCTCTTATCTGCTCGGATGTGCCGAATTCCATCTGGATAAACCTGAAGGAAAAAAAAAAAAGGTCACATCAATTCTGTATTTACCATCCCTTCACGACTTCCGTCTCACTGGTGATTCTGACACAGAAACAGCCAAAGGCAAGCACCGCTCCTGGCAGCGGTGATCCATTAGCTATGCAACAGGCCGAACTAGCACAAAGCCACTCGCCAGCTGGAAGCACTGCATCTTTGAACTACAGCAAGGAACTACAGCACTGCCCGCACTGAAGGAGATAAGGACCATCATCAGCTGGTCCAGTTTCACTTTACAGGATACAAAAAGGGAAAGGCTGAATAAGTGTCATTCTCTGCCAATCCACACCTTCAAACATGACATATGTTGCACTACTGTAGAAACCACAGGTGTGCAGCAAGCAGAGAGCGGCAGACACACGCAGACGTGTCAGAAGCAGCTTTCCATTACCTGTACCAAAGCATCATCACCAAGAAGAGAGCAGGACAAGGTAGGTGTAGTACCCAGGAAGCCAGAGTCAGTCACTTCTTCTACAGTCTCTCCGATGGACAGCACCAGTGTGGCATTTACGAAGGACACGATGATATAGGCATCAAATTCATCTGGTCAAGGGAGACAGGGAAAAAAGGGTGCTGATTAAATAAATGCAAGGCTTCCCAACAAAATTAGCAGTCTGGCAGATGTCTAGCAGTTACTCTTCAGCAGAATTCCTGTGATAATTACATCTGCTGGCTGTATTGTGCAAGTTCGTTCTAGGACACACTGTCCAAAAGCCAGCCACTGCTAGACTCCAAACAATGTAAGACTGAGCCAGGGATCAAATGATGATGATCCAGAGTCAATTCACAATATTCTGGATTCTGGCAAGCAAAACTCCTGCCTACTTTTTTTTCAAAGACAGCACAAAGTCTAGAAGCCTTTAAGACATTCGTCCCACCTCACACGAGGAGCTGAATCCAGGTTGAACGCCCAAAGTCAAACGAAATGCTCTACTCCAATAATCTGCACACATGGAACCCATCTGCAGAAACCACACCACGGATGCTGCAAACAGGAGGCTGCAGGACCATGTCTCTATCTAGCATCCACGTAATAAAAGGCTGCAGAGAACAACGAGGGTGCATTGCCGCAGAGGAGCTCAGGGCTAGGCTGCTCTACCCTCAGCCAGAAGCTCAACTAGCCTGCATTTACACAGCCACCCGTGCAGTCTCCGGGGATGAGAAACGATTACGTTTTTAAGATAGAGCAAATATTGACCTTTACTTCTACTGGAATAAGTGACAGTAACACAAACTATTATTTTCAGTACTGACTTCTCCCAAAGGGGACAGGTTGGGACAGTCCGGTAGCTTGGACGTGAAAGAGCTATGCTAATGAAAATAGTCTTAAGAGCTCATTTAGAAATAGGGAAACTTTGTGGGAAACAAGGGTAGTAGGACTGGGTAAAAGGAATGCCCCATTTACTGCTGTCCATTTTCATTCAGCAGAAAGTGATAGGCATTAAAGAGGGGGAGAGGAGAGTCTCATTAAAACCGAATAACAAAAGCAACAGAAACAATAAAGTCTATTGGGAAATGGAGCCAGGAGCCTCAGTGGAGAAATAAGATTGCCTCAGAGAAGCAACTCCACTTCTGCTGCTGTTGTCATGCAAGTGCTATTTCTTAAAAAGAGAAAAATCCCCATTTTAACCCAACTCAACCCAAAGCTCAAACTTATGCATCACAGCACAAGCCAATTAGCAGAGGTGAGGGTGTAAGAGAGCTGTCACAGTTTTGGCCCTTGAGCAGTCTCTCCATAATTTGCAAATCTGGAAGACGAGGAGAAGTAGCTAGTGACTCTCTAAGGAGAGAAAGAAAATAGAAAACTCTCACTGGGATGAATACAGGATGCCAGCAAATACCATGCAGCAGCTTAAAGAAACTGAACTAACTGAAACAAACGCTTCAGGAACTGATCCTTGTCTTATCCACCCTCTTTAGAGGCAGGCGTTGCAAACCTGCTGTGTCACGTTTATAACAGAAAGTTCTTACATAGAGCTGAAAATATGCAAGCAAAAAAAAAAAAACCAACCATCATTCTTCTCTCCAACATCTGGTATACAGACCACAGCTCTGATCAAACTGAAGAGCTTTGTATAATTAAAGCAATTCCAGCAGTAGTCTGCGGCATAAACTCTGTTACTACTCTATTAAGCGGTCACAGGCTATAATGTCCAACATGCTCCCAAACCCCACGAACAGGAGCGGGTCCGCTTGGGGAAATGAGAAACCAAGAACTGCACCCACACACAGAAACTGATCAGTAACACGAAGTATTTAAACACTGGACTTAACAGGAGAATTTCTCTAACATTAAAAGCACATGGTAAGAGTTCAGTATGACGTACACCATTACACACTGGTTATTTTCTACACTAAATAGCAGCTTTTCCTACTAACTGGCATATGTTTTTCAACACCAGAAGTCTATAAGAATTCCTCGATCACTTTAAATGGAGATTCTAATAGTTCACAGGCTAAGCATTTAATTCATAAATATCCTGTAGACAGGATGTTCTAAAAATTCCATTTCAAAGACCATCGTTTCTTTCCAAACTTCTTGAGAGCGGCTGCCTTCCTCCCTGGGGGCTGTCATTCTCATGATAAACCACCATGTCCCAGCTGGAGGCTTATCCACGTGATTTGGAGCAGGACAAAGAACTCCCATTTGAAAGCAAAACAGATTCCCTCAGTCCTACTCTAAAGGAAAACTCATTCCTACCCCTTAATACTTTTTTAGCTCTTTCTTTTCACTCACATACAGTTATATTAGAGCGTGCCTTTAAGTCGGTGTCAATAATAGCGACAAGTGCATTTTTGCTTGAAGTCCAGTAGCGTTGCTTAATGCCTCTCTGCTGGAGCTTTTGAAATAAAGGGTTTGATTTACCAGAGCGAAGTCAGTGAATAAGACGCATTCATCTAGATTCAAACAATACAATTTTGGTTTAGAAAATATAGCAGCCTAGTTGAAATCAAGAGGACTAAATCCCTGGGGCACACTGAGAATTATTCTCAGTTAGAAAAAGAAGAGATCTATAGATTTTAATGTGAAAAGATATCTACGTAGCTCTGCGCAATCCCAAGCACAACATCAGCCTGCCCAGAGTTTTGAACAGATAGACATTATTTTGTATGCAGACACAAGACTTTAGAGACGCTTATTACCGTTCTAATTGCTCCAGTTAGCTCCTTTCAGCGAGTAATAGAGACATTTTAATGACTCTGAAGAACCACAGCTGGACCCACTCTCCTCTGCCTTCATTACAAGTTTTCTGCAGCTTCATGCACACGTCACGACCAGTTACGAAAACATCACATTTCAGCCCATGAACTCTATACTACCGTCCTTTTTGTTATCTGTCACGGATTCGGTTTGAGTTAGTCCACGAGAATTCCATTCCTATACGCCAGTCCACACCTGATATAGTTTGTTCACGGTCCACAGCATCTGAATTTGCACTGATACAAATATAGCCACCACTACCTCGGAGAAGTTCAGTGAAAAAACAGATGAGCAATGACAAAATTCAGGATTATTCTCACTTAAACAATACTGATGGGATGACAGCACATTTTCCTGGGCTTCTGTTTACTACTGCATGGAGACTCCGCAGCTGTGACTCACTGCACATTGCTTTTCATGCAAGAGTGCCAGGCAGGGAACGCAGACTGTTAGGTCTCAGCTCAGATCTATCTCCACAGCAAAGCACGCAGCCACCTAGCTCTCCAAACCTCGATATTTAACTGCAAGAAAGGGTTTGGTCCAAATCCCATCACTTCTGTCCGACAGGCAGACACATTCCATAACCACTGGGCATTCCCATGCCAGTAATACCTACAAGCGCTTCAAGCACACTCAATCATTTTCTCTTGGAGGTCTGCACAAAGCAGCTGGGAGCCAATCCTCAGGCTAGACGGAAGCTGAAAACGCCCCTGAAACACGCACCTCTGATTTTAGCGAGAACTGACCGTTCCGTAGAGACATGGTCAATTATTTTGTTCCCCAAAAGACTAGGATGGAAGGAGAGTTGCTTTCTACTCCTCAGCTACTGACCTACAAAGGCAACAATCTCCAACTACACATCTTCTAGAATTCATTTACTGAAAAGCTAAGCATAAAAGGAGCCCCATGATTTTGGGATTCTCTGTGGTTAACCTGTGGGACAGTATGGTAGCCCCTAGCAGTAGGTACACACCTGTGGTGATCAGCACCTCCACCACCAGCCACCTGTGGAAGAAAAAAAGAGGCTTGGTATTGGTAGTGTGTATCACCACGTACCAGCCAAGGTTAGTATTTGCTTTGAAGGCTGCAAACCTGTAGGTGTCTTACAGAGGCCCTGCAGCATTGCGCACACTGAGGCATCGAGGCAGAGCCAGGCAGCCCGACACTGCAAACTGAACACTCAAAGAACAGCACTCGGGCCGTTTCAAGATTAGACATGTGTCTGAAAAGGTTCTGCAGCCTTTCTGATTAAAACCCACTAAATCTGTTTCTAAATTCAAAGAGTTGTAACTTAGGGAGTGGTTTTACATAACATTAAACTGTATTCAAAATGTAGCATGGTTCACAACAGCTACAGATTCCAGCCTTTCTGAAAGCATCGAGAAGATCTTCGTGCTGGAACCTGGAGAACTAGGAAGGAGGAAAAAAAAAATAAAAAGGCAGCAAGACTGGTCTGTTTCATGTAGATTAGCAATGGTCCTCCATCTCCTGAAAAGTCAAAGTCATCCTCTGGAACCCCAAAAGAAAAAGTTTTAAAACTGTAAGGTGATGTCAGAAGCCTCCATCTCTCAGAGGGGCACATGTTACCAACTCCTTTTCCAAAAGGCAGGAGAAAAGGTTTGTCTCTAACAAACTGGAATGCCTCTTTTAAGAAAAGCATGTACTTTTGATATGAACTGTGGAAATACTTTCCTGCTGACCCTTTTATTTCTGGGGAACATGAAGGCACTTCGTGCTCAAACCTCCTTCTGTGCTGCTTAGGCAGTACATGAGTGTCAAAACATGAGCACAGGAATTGATGGCAGGCCTCAGATGGCAAGGTAAACTCCACAGCGATGTCTGAAATTCCCACAGGGTTACTGGCTCCCTGGAAGACACACTACCCTACCATTGCTTAAAAACAAGACATCGTGTCACCACAGCAGGCTAAGGTCTCCACTGCAACAATCTGGCATTTCTATATCCAGTGCATAACCCTACAGGAAGTCTTTGCGAGATTTACACAAAGCACTGCCTCAGAAATAATCACAGAGACTGTCAGTACCCAGAATTGATTCATTTCAGGCTCTTTAGGTGTTTGAGGCACTCTGTTCTCACCCCCAAGAGAAAGGCAGGACGAGGGCTTACATTTCCTCTTGCACTTTAGTAACGCAAACCCATTATTTCAGATCAGGGGAAAAAAAAAAAAAAAAACACACAAGCCCACAATCCAGTACGTTCTGCCAATTTCAAATCTTGACCTTCCTGGAATCAGCAGCATCCTATACACTGCTGGGTTTTTGAATAGGGAGTGTGTCCTAGCCCAAACAGACTGTTTTCTTTGCAGATATGCATAGAGGGAAGTAATAAAATACAGACACTGTTGCTGATTTATCTGCTTTGTTCCGTAATTTATATCCCACTCTCTCACAGAGAGTTGATTACTGTAGTTGTCAACACGCATAGAAAGAATAGTGAGTATGCTCCAACAAAAAGCATAATCATTGCCTGCTGATGTCGGAGCAAGAACTTATGGGAAGTGGGAAGGGATGAGAAGTTCAGCAGCTTCAGGCTGCAAACGTACAGCTGACGAAGCATACTGGGTGATGGATGCAGCCGCTGGCAGGTGCTTCTTTGGCAAAGGGAACTGTGACAATTCTAGGGGACCAGAGGGTGGCTTCTAAGTACAAACAGGCAGCTGATGATTCAAAACATGATTTCTGGGGATGACATACAACCATCATGTAGCACCTTTCCTATCTGCTTGGACAGAAAAACAAAAAAAAAAAAAAAACCCAAACAAACAAAACTACATACCTTCAACATGTCTTCTCACGGTCCATACAGCATTGGGGTTACCAGGCAGCTCTGAGACGGCCATTTCAGAGACCTAAGAGTAAACAGGAACAAGGTTCTTTTGCAAACAGATGTTTGGACTTACTACAGTAAACCAAACCAAACCACCAGCAGCTTTTAAGCTTTCCCACAACTGGGCAGGAAAGCTACTAATTCCCAATTCTGACGCTCTCTCCCCATGCCAGATGTGCCACAGGGCAGAATATATTCAGCAATGATACAGCAACATTAGAGTTCCGGATGATCAGCTTTAAAACAAGGCCACCTGCCCCCAGCAAAGAGATCAGCAGCAACAGCTGGCAGAGACACCAGGAATATTCCAGCTCAAGTACTAGAAGAGACAAAACGCAGGTGGTTGGAGTCAACTGAACAAAAAGCCTTTGTAAGAGTAAACAGTACAACCCAACAAGAAGCAAGCATAGAGAAAGTTGCTCTTTCTTTCAACCAGAGCAAAAGGAGTCCCTTCATTTCAGCACCCTTATTTTAAGGATTTTCTCTCACTGTCCTCTCCTCTCCAGCTGTTCTGCTGAAGTGCGCTAGGTCTTACCTCAAGTCCATGTCTTAGAACCCTCAGAGACGACCGGGGCCCCCGACCACAAGCCACATACAACTGGGGTGTGTCTTCATTGGCCAAATCTGCTATCTGCGTGGAGAAATAGGGTCAAACAATATCCACAGGAAGAGAAAATAAAACTAAGCTATATATGCCACACTACTGCATTAAGAATGTTTTTTTCAAACACTGAAAACAGTGAAGATGCCACAGGGTGTACTACCTGCTGCCCTGAAATAATGTCAAGTCTTAACCAAAGTCTCTGCAGAGCAGAGAACTGGCCTGATGGTCAACAGCGGAGCAGCACGGGACTGCTGGCTCACACCCTGACTCCACATATAAAATCACACATCTACAATCAATTCCTCTGTAAATGAGAAGGGCTGTGATCACATGGTGACTGGGAGCTTGCCGACAGCAACATACCTGACAACACAGAATAGGAGACAAACTGTCCAACTCATCCACCAGCACCAGGTTCTTGAGAGGTCGTGGCTGAAAAAAGAACGTATCTCCTTCCTCAAGAGGCATGGCAGAAGAGAACTCTGGCTCCTCGTCATCGTCACCCAGGTGAGCTATCTGGTACAGGTAACTTGAGACAGAAAGCAAGAGCAACAGCATGTTCAGTGCAAAGCTCATGTAGCCTTCTCTAAGTAAGGCTTAGCCAGATATTCAGGCAGCGGGGAGGACAAAAATCCTTCCCTCCATTATACAACTATTAAAATTTAGCCTTAAGGATTTTCTTCTTGGTAACAAAATGTTTAAAGGGAATCAAGAGGCCTGCAAAACAAACAAACAAACAAGCAAACTAAAAAACTCATCACAACCTCCCCCCTCCAAACCTTCTCATTTGTAGCTGCCACAGGCAATGTATCCCAGAGTTTCAGTGTTTTCCCTGTTTACCCTTGAGCCTTTTAGATATTCTTGCATTAGAGCCAAACCACCAACTGACAGCTGAGGCCAAGAGCAAGGCCAACGGCTAAGACTGCAACTCCACAGTTATCTATTCTATTGGAATACCCTCACCTCGTTATTTCTAACCGCATTCCCTGGTCCATTTTATGAGCCTAAATACCACAACAATCAAGTTAAGCTTCAGAGGAAAAAGAGATAAAACCAGGAGGATAGATTGATTTACTTCCTGGTTTTAATAAAGCTGAAAGGAATATGGCTTCCTCAGAAGCTTGGTTTGTACAACGGGTTTCACATTCACTCCAGTAAACTGGCTGGAGCTCCCCCACGTGGCTGACTGCAGATGTAGTCAGAAAAGAGCCTAAGCCTCCACCCCTGTGAATCCCCCACTTAAGATGCTGTGAAGCCATCTTCAAAAGTGTACAAAGTCTTCTTTGTATTCTAGAACCCCAGACATGAATTGCGAAAGCCCTCAAGTACACACCTATTAAGGAAAGGAGAACAGCTACTGATAACAAATCCTACCTGCTTCTGAGTGGGCCATAACACACAAAAGTTAAACGAAAACAATCGAGCTAATGAAAAGATAATTCATCTGGATACATGATGGACCCTATATGAATTGCAAGTGCTCAATTCTTCCAAAGCCTACTGCAACAGCATGTAATCTTTTGTTCTCCGCACTATAATATATAATCTGCGTTCAAACAACAAGAAAATTCCCCTGTTGTGTCATAGTCGAAACCAATTGTTCTGCTCAAGCCATGTGAACAAAGCCTTAATTTAATTTACCCATTAAACCGGAGGTGTTGTCTTTATATGTTCAGTAAGTTCAAGGGTCAGTTTGCAGTCCTGAACAGAAATAGTCTGTTTCAGGGGAAAAATGCTGACGTAAAATTGTTTACTCACTGGTTTCCAAATTCAGATGCCACAAAGAGAAACCCCGTCTTCAGCACGCACATGGCAGCAGCGACAGGAACCGTGTCAAAGTACTTCAGTCGAATCTCTGTTACCTGAGAGCAGAGGAAGATGAGGCTGCGCCAGCAAAGTACTACAGCAATACATGTGTGATTTAATAATAATTAAAAAAAAAAAAAGCTGCCTGGCTATCCTCTCCAAAGAAAGGAAGCAAGAGAGTGGGCCAGGCTTAACCCCATCAGTAGTTTGGGGCAGCAGGTTATAAATCACAAAATCCAGCAGATTATTTTGAACACACAAGTCAGGCTGCCTGTTTTATTCTGACTTTCTGGCTTTGGTAACAGAGTCAGTTTGTGAAAAAACAGCTGTGAAAATAGCAAGCTGTCTAAAAGAAAGAAGATATTTGCTTCACTCAACACCAGACATTCCCCAACACATGAAAAAAATCCCCTGTACTGAGCAAATTTCTACATTTGATATGGCCGCAATAGCTCTTGGTGAAACATCCAAGAACAATCTTAAAGATATTTAAGATGCTACATAATCATCCCTTGTACCAAATTTCACACATGTAGATGAAGGAGGAGCTAACGTTCAACATTTACTGAAAACCCTCAACTGATTCACTGCAGCAGAGGTCTTTTCATTGCAAAATACTAGGACAACCATCAGCAAAAGCCACTTCAAGCTTTTTATTTCAACTCATAGACCAGCTGGACCAAGCTAGCTACCCCAGTCTGCAAAAAGATTGACTGTAGCATGTAAATATTCAATTAAGAGATGAACTAGAGAGCACCTACTGTGATCAAGAGAAGCTAAGTTCCCCAGAATTAATTTCTGGAACACCCTCTAGCAGGTTCATGGACTACACTTTACAACACATCTTTTGAAGAAATTACTGTCTGCAGAACATCTAAAATATGCCCAAATAACTCTGCAGCACAAATCTCACAGGATTTTGCAAACATTGTGCTGCATCTCTACATGAGTAAACACCAGTTACAACTGTGGGTGTAAGTGTATCACAAATCATGTAGAACACAGGCTACCACACAGCTAAAACCACAATATTAAATATTTATCACTTTAGTGAGTCAGGCAAAATAACTGACTAAGGACTCTTCTCAACAAATGCTTTTGCTGCTCTTCACGTGATGCTTACCATGTCTTCATCAGTCTCCAGAGTAATTTTGAAGATGTCTCCCTGTTCTGTCTGGGCCAGGAAGAAGAACATGGACTTGGTCTTATGTGTAGCAGAGCAGACAAAAATCATACCTCTCTCTGGGTCATCCAAGTCATTCTGTTAAGAGAGCAAGCAGAGGTCATTGGTGGAAAAGAACTCCCCAGCAAGCGCAGATGTGATTTCACTGACAATTATTTCCACTGCGCAGGTGCCTTCAAGAGCTGACAGTACACGAGGAGGCTTTCAACACAAAGCGCATCCCCTCTGTTACACCCACAGTTACCCTTGGGACATCTCTGTCCCAGAAGGAAATACATTGCTGAGACAGTGTGCCTAAGCATCTCCTCTCCCATCTTTTTTGCCCTCCTCCCTGGAAAACTCTCCCGCCTATCAAAGCCAAACACAGAGGAAAGGGCTGCAATCCACCTACAGCTGGTTTTGAGCACCTGAACCCTGTCAAAGCACACAACATCTGCAATAGCAAAGGAGGAGGAAGCAGCCTTCGACGTAACAGAGCAGCTGTCGAATTCACCTGCGCACAGGATGGCAACCGTGACTCACCGTCTCAAGTAATGCTATCTCACACTGACTGCGCCACTGCCGTGGTGCCTGATCAGAGTCTTTGGAGTATCTCCAGCATAAATCTCAGAGAAGAGACATGAAGCAAACTCATCACCTCAGGCTACGCCCACCCCTGTCTTCCCTCACGATAATACATGCAGCCAGGAAGGCAGATGATAGGTCAGACTTCTAACTCTTTCTTCCTTATTGTAAAACCTCTCTGATGCCTTTAACCTCAAAAGGCAAATACCAAGCATCCATTTAGCACCGACAAAGAGAATCTTAGAAGAAAAGAAAAAAAAAAAAAAATGGGTAGGAGTCCCAAAATCCTCACCCGTCTTCTGGGAATTGGGCATCTGATATCAGGCTGGTCACCGAAGTTTTTATAAGTAATATAGTTTTCAGAACAGATCAGCACTCCACTAGGTCCATCAGAACCACCAGGAACTGAAACAAGGAAAAGAAACATGATGAGAAAAAGCCCTTACCACAGATCTGACTGACTGCCTACAGAGCATTTACTTTGGTTTTCTTTAAAGCAGCATAGTTTCTGTTGCTCTGTATCACCCTGCATATATAAATCTACTCTTATCGAAGGGGAAGACAAAACACCGAATACAGCTTCCTGGGTCAGGGTAAGAACAGGGCAGATGGAACTGGGGGACCAGGAAGGGGAAAAAGGAAGGATGCAACTTCAGACAAATTGCTAATGTTTTATCCTTCCCGGGTTATTCTTAGCTAGAAAACCACGACATGCCACAAATACCACATCAGCAACTTGTCAGCTAAACACAAGCCTTGGGTTACTGGCACATTTGCTTGCTGTCAAAAAAAATCCACCAGATGACTTTCTGACACATCTTTCATTTTTAGAGTATGTTTTTTTTCAAAATGCCTCTGTTGAGAAACCAGCATAACGAAAGGTATCATCAAAATAGAAGTAGCGGTCAAATCCAGCCCAATATTTAGTGTCTGTCAGCTGCCTACAGAAGATGCAACAGGGCAAGCATACATGGATGCTCTCCTAGCTTAGCTTCCTTTGTGCTTGGAGAGGAATCTGTTGAAGGTGTTGGGCTGCCTTTGCATCCAATCCCTGTAAGCGGGCTTTTAGCCCACAGATTTACCTGCTAACCTTTTGAATGCATATTAGCTGCTGGAATCCCTTGCAAGACAGTACACCACCACCTATGCATTATTTAGAAATATATGCTTTTGCATCTGCTACCAGCTAATTTCAGTTAACATCTATTAGCTTCAGAATCCAGACAATATCCAGAATACACGTAAAAGAAGAGAGATGAGGAGCACTTTCAAACAGCAGCCATATCTATGAATTCCTGCGTATTTCCGTGTGTGAACCACCACTCACTACCTGACTCCAAGGTCAATTAATTTATACTAATGGCCCAGACTGCCATCAAAACGACTCTTAAGATATAATGCATATTGATTGTTTCCCTGGGGAATGGGAACCAAGTATATCCACAGGAAAATGACTGAGCAGCCCAGTGGGCAGTACCTGTTATAAGAAAGTTGCCGTGCTCTTCCAAGGGCTCACTGTATTTCCTAACAACGTGGTTCAAACCCAAGTCCAATTCATAAAATGTCAAGGTCTGTTGGGTGTTGGCTGCTGCTTCTCCTGTTGGATCATTATCTGCTTCCTAAAACAGAACACATGAAGGTGTCTTTCAAGAAAAGTATTAAAGGAGGAGCAAAGCTGACGTGTGGGGAAACAGTTCTGAATAATATTAGAACAAAGTCCAAAAGATGACTTGCTGAAAGATGCACCAAAAAATGGCTGAGAGGAAGAAAACATGCACATTTCTGTTGAACAAAAAGAATTTAAGAAGAATCGCCAAGACAGAAGAGACTTGCCTATTCTGACCAAAGACAAAAAGCAAGTAAGCTCATGACAAACGAAAATTGTCTATGACAGCAAAAGCTGCCAACGTTCCCCACCTCTAGACAGACTAAGATAAGAAAAGGAATGACAAAGCTTGAAAGACAGCAAAGGGAGAGCAAGTTCTTCTCACCTCATAATCCATTTCCAGACAAGCGAACATGGGGTTTTCAAATCCCACATCGACTCCCACCACGTGGTAGACCAAGGTATTGGCCTTGTGGGCTTCCAGTGGGGAGGAAATGGTGAGACGAGCCGCAGCATCTCTGTTCAAGATATACACCAGCTTCTGCTTTTCAATTGCACCTGCAAGGAAAGGACAACAGCACCTGAAGCACATCTCCTGGTTATCAAATCTGATGATACCTGCAGTTCAATATCGATACGTAACTTGGCAAGAGAATGTCAGCATTACTTCTGCTGAAGTTCACCATTGGTATTTATCTTTGTGCCATCAATTAATTTCAAATGACTCATTTTAAATGTTTTGGGCCACAAGCACAAATGACAACTCCAGCTCTTTAAAGCCGAAGACTGAATTCTGGGCAAGATGGACGTATCTCAAAGGGTCAATCTACAATGGTTATAGGCAGATCTACTCATTCATTCCACCACATGAGAGAGGACAGACTGCAGGAAAGCAAAAACAAATTGGAAGAAACAGGCAGATGTTCCACCATTTAAAGCCACTCAGCAAGAAGACCTTTTCTCAGAAACATTTAAACTAAAATAATGTATCCTTGCCTGATACACAGCATCCACAACATAACAAACATCTATCACCCTTAACTATCAACGTGAATGGCACAATTATGATTGTGCTACCTTCTACCCCATGAAAAGAACACTTGTTAAAAAGGAAACAAAATTATTTATTGTTATTCCCAATATAAAGGGGTGCTGTTAAACTACCTATCATTGCAAGTCCCCACTCTCAGCATACAGGAAAGCAGCATCACACAAAGCTGACTCTGGCAAACCAAGAAAGTTCATGTATCAAGTAACTAAGACACCTCATGGTAAATCTTACAAACAAACAAACAAAAATAATCACCCAGGTGTTCTCCTATCTGTGAAGCCTGATCAGAAATGCATCTAGTTGTCTCCACAATACATCTCAGAGAAGAGACATGAATTCATAACATCATTTCAGGCTATGGGAGCTGACTGACTACACCATACCACAGATGCCTGCAATCCCAACTTCTCTCCCAGACATCACACTTCAGGGCCCTGCACACCACTAACCAAGCTGGCCTCTTTCCAAATTGTTTTGGCCCAGTGTTTCAAGCAACGTGCAATTTATTATTTTAATTGTGCGATTCCATCAGCACCAAGGAACTATTCTAACTATTCTGAATACCTGCATTCTCCTTGACACGTCTCATAGTCTAACAAACTGCCCGAGAAGAAACACTTCCAATTATACCTGGCACAAACTCGCTCCAAAACAAATATCCCCAAGACAGAATTAAAAAAATAAGGAGAAAAGAAGCCAGTAGACTGACTTACTGATCATGACAGCGCGGCCCTTTGGGTCTACAGCCAAGTACTGGCCTGGAACAATTCTGCGACATCCGCTCTTGCCAAAGGTTTCCTGATGAATCTTCTCAAACACATTCTTTGAGGGTTGGTACTCCAGAATAACAATGCGCCCTGAATCGCTGCCCACCACGATATAGTCTTTGGTCCCACCTGTCAGTCTAAAGGCCATGAGGGAGCGAATGACTCCGAACACTTCCACGGTCAGCAGCGTGTGAACCTTCCCTGTGTTGGGATCAGGACGGAGCAACTCCAGGATCTTGCCGCGGGAAACAACAATTTCTTGTTGTTTGGTTCCTAAAGAATCCAAAACATGAGAAAGAGTTAGCAACAACATAGCAGAACACGCAACTTCAAGAAACACTGTAAGAAAGAAACTAAAACTTTACCACTACTAAAGACCAAGGAGTTTTACGATTACTATGGAGGAATTCAAAGCAACTTATTCGCCACATCAAATGCCACTATTGTTTGAGCATCTTTTAACAGATGAGGAAAGCGGACAAAATACTAAATTAAATCTACAGCTCATCAAGCCAAACTTTTCTTCATTTTTCCACAAGTTACAACAGCTCAAGTAACACACTCAAGAGCAAACTGCAATATACCAGCGAAAAAAAATGCTATAACAAAGCAGACCAACTTCAGCAACCAAAACAAATAAAGAACAAACACCTTTTTTCCTCTACTACCCAGAAAAGCTCAGGCCGAGATGCACAAAGGCAGGAGATTACCTGAGAAATTGCCATGGATAGCATAGCTAATGCCGGTGGCTCGCTGCAACGTCAGGTTGTAGAGAAACATGGTGGCAACAGGTTTGCTTCACCTTATGGTAGCTCCACTGAGTCTGCAACAAAGAGAACAAAACATATACTTTGTAAAAACAAAGCCTTCCACACAGCACAGAGAGAGCCCGGCTACCCACATCACTTTACACATCAGAAGACTGACTGCCCCCCAGCTAAAGTGATTTGGTATTTAGTAATACTGAGAAATGAAAGGCTCTCCCAGAGACAACGAGGCTTTCGAGCGTCAGCCGAGCTCGCTAGTGCTACGTGACTGATCAGTGCTTTCAGCTAAATTACTGCTTTTATGGTTTTAGTTGTCCAGAAACCAAACCAAGTTAGGGAACCCCTCCATAGCTGCCCTACACCGTTACACCTTACTGACCTCACCATTTCACTTAACGCGAGCCAAGCTACCCGCAAGCGCTTG